GAACAGACAGCGGACGATCTTTCCTTCCTCTTCTTTGTCTCAAACACACACACAAGCACTTCAGTGGTCGCGTGGATTACTATTGTAATCTAGTCTTATTGATTTGCTTTTTACAGTGAATCAACAAAATTTTGGAGTCGATTTTTCAGTACCTTTGGTAGAAAAATCCATGCGTGAAAGTGAGCTAAAATGATTGTTACTTGGCATATGATAAGCTCCGAATTTAGCTTGGTTTACAATAGTAGTCCACGCGATCATTCGCGCTTCAGTTTGACCGAGGAATTCGACCGTCACTGTGGCTTCGTGCTTTGTGTGTGAGCTGGCAGTTCTAGAATTGAGTAATCAGTACGAGTGACAATGTAATATATTAGTAGTTGGATGGGGAGGATAGTAAATCTATTGATGTTTCAGAAGGTGATAACAGTGGTGAAGATGAATACCTTTCATGTGCCCCACAAGGTTCAAATCTTAGATCGTTATTATTTGCAATTGCCTTAACCAATTAGATGACAATTTAGCAAGTTTTCATTTAACATACTGACGACATGAAATTGCATCTTAACATTTCCTGTGTTAATGATTGTCAAAGTAAAATTGTTAATTGTTATAGTAAAATCAAAATTTATTTTTAATTCATGTGTTTCTCATAAATTTAATTGCATAGTTATGTCATATAGATCTCAGAGGATCGAATTTAATGATTGTATAGATAATATGACACTATGTATTGTAAATATTAAGAAAGATCTTGGAGTTATCTTTGATCATCAACTAACTTTCAAACCACATATTGAAAATACAATTTGTAATGCTAATAAATCATTAGACGTTTTAATTAGATTAGCATGTAAAATGAAATCTATGAAAGTCCTTTGAATGTTATTTTGCTCTCTTGTAAGGTCAAAATTAGTGTGATCTAATTTGATGATGATTAGCGTCTGTAATCTGGTCCCCAGACAAGCAAATTCTTAGAAATGAGCTTGAAAATGGCAGATTTTTAAAATATTTAGAATTTTGTAAAGGTGGTATACACTCACAGAGGAGAATCAATAATCTACCTTCTTCGGTCCTGTTCCTCCATAGGCGAAATTAGCTGACCCATCTAGATGGCTTCCCCAGTATTTTTTCATCCTTCTCAATTCTCTGCCTTCTGCATTGCTTCTTTTAGGCTAATGGTATATTGGTCTACCCTTCTCTTGGCTCATCTAAGATGGATATTGGTCTATCCATCTCATGACTGTTCTTCCTCGGCCTCCTTTTCCTTCTACTTTACCTTGAACTATCCGATTTTTAAGCCATGCTCCATCCTTTGTACGATGTGTCCTGGAAATCTCAATATTCTTTGTTTGCAGATGTTACTAAGCTCTGTTGAATGTTTAGTCTATTTATGATTCAGAGATTCAGGTCAGTTTTAGATTCAGATTAGTCTTTTCTTTCGGTCCATGATACTCTCAACAGTCACCAGGTATTTCACATTTCAAAGGCATTAATTCTTTTTACATCTGCCGTCTTAAAGAGTCCATGTTTCTGCTCCATATAACATCACAGAGAAGGCTGAAATCTTGTTTATTATTTCGGGCTATGTGATCATTTTTCCAAATTCAGGTGCGCCTACTCACTGCCTCTCTTCCTAACGCAATTAATCTTCTTATTTATTTGGATGATCCTCCTTCAGACTGAACTAGGGAGTAAAGGTAAATAAAGTCTGTAACTTTTTCAGTATTTTGGTGTATTTGTTGGTGGGAGGACTTGTTCTTTATCCACTATCAACACCTTAGTTTTGGCCTCATTAACAGTCAGTAAGTATTTGTTGCTCATCTTCTCTATTTGATTTATCAAATGACTCACTTCTTCCTCCGAATCTGCACATAGTGTGGTATCATCAGCAAATCGTAATTTATTGATCCTTTCACCTCCAATTATTACACCGACGGTCCAATTGGTCAAGGTTTCTCTCAATACTTGTTCACTATATACGTTAAATAAAATAGGAGAGATGAAGCCATCTTATTTCACACCTTTCCTGGGTTTGAACTGATCTGAAATTGAATGTTGCGTCCTTACTACTGCCCTTGTGTTTCCAAATAGATTCTGAATTATATATATATATACACACACACACACATACATATACATACATAATTATATAATTATGTACATATGACAGTTATATAGATTTACTATCTGACTCTATTCAATCTTTATGAGGAAAAGTTTTAGAGTATGATAGAGTCATCAATTATATGTAACTTATTTACACATAAATCCTGTAATGGGTTTTATCCAGTGAATTATATCTTGAATAAAATAAAATAAATAAAATACAATCGGTGCTCGAGAGTGAATAAGAACAGTAGGCTAAAAGAGGATGAAATGTCTATTAACATAAATACATAGTAGACATATAAGGCTGGAATTGGAATAAATTAGTGCTTCCGGTGATGATACACACTCAAATGAATAATATTGTCTTTTGCATGTCGCTTACTAAATTCCATGCAAGAAGTTTAAATACTTACAGTATCCAACATTGTTTCAGGATAAGTTTTACGGATCATGTAAGTGTCTATCAATATGTACATAGATTAGATCACAATTCGTTATCAGAGGAAGTGTTATGCAAACTTTTCTGATGAAGTAGAATGGAAAACTTTCCTATGAACACTTTATCTATCAATGTCATTCAGAAGGCACGCAACTGACATCTAGATACATTAGACAATACATGGATTGAAACAATACATGTAGCTAAACAAGAGCACACAAATGAGGTGCGTAAATTGAGGGTATGTCTAGGACATATAGAAAACGAGTAATAGGCTAATTTTATGCGACAGATGTAGAGTATAGCCATAAAATGTTTCACCAATTTGGGAAATTTGATTTATTTATTGTACATAAGGGAAAATTAATCAAATGTACAAAAGAATAGATCATGAGTCTATTCAACAACACACATGCATACATTTGTTTAAAAGCAAAATAGTATATGTAATTTTGTGAAGCATTTCGTTGCATTTGTAATTTATCAACAAGTTGAAAAATGATACAAATGTTTGCAATTGATCACAGATTAAATAAGCATACCTGTCTAAATATTAATGAAAATTTGATTTTATTAGTCAAAGAAAGTCAATAATAATTTTTTTAAATGGCCTACTATTGCAATCCACACACCATTTTTGTTATGATTTCTAGTGTGATCACTGAAAGATTAACATAAAGCTTCTCACATTAAACTTACTGTCTAGCAAATACTACATACCGTCTTAACAAAACTCTCAATTTTATAGCTGAATAAAAAATTTAACTGATAAATATCTAAATTATTGGTTCACTAGAATGTACAAATATTAATTAATTTGCTTTTGTATTTTAGAAAAATAATCTAAAAATTCAGTACATCATTAAATGAACACTTTAGTAAGGAATTTTAATACCTTAGGTTACAAATTGAATTTGATTTTAAAGATTTTGATTGATATATTTTAAAGTTACTTGAATCCTCCTAGCCAAGTCAGAAAAATTTATTGTGTTTCCTAATTATGTACAAACTGACTTTTTCAATTTTACATATGGCATGAACGCAAAGAGGAAATTCCCTGATGTGACAAAAATTTCAGTCACATTAGTAAAAGATAACCAATTGCCAATTATCCTCAGTAGGTCTTAGTTGTACAGTCAATTGACAACACTTAGAAGAATAAGGTATAGTACCTCTTGAATGAAGAAATTAAAAAAAGAGACTATATTTCCAGTGTTCAGTATTTCAAAACTTCCTGACTCAGTGAAGTCTACAAAATTGCATTGGAAGAGTTTTGAAAGAACTATGAGTGAGGCAAAAATTATCATTAGACAACCTCTCTTTACACAAAGAAAAATTGCTCTTTCACATTTCCAGCTGTAACACTGCCAATATAAATCAATGTTAGTAGGTGAGCTGTTTTCTACAGTTAAGATTTTCCTGTGCTTCACGCTATGACAGATCAAAATTAAGAATATTTGCTTAAAAATTAAAATGAATTTTTATCAACATTTTTAAGGAATATATAATATTACAATTGTCTCAAAAAAGTCCCTTTTAACTTTTTTGTTTGGTCATATTAACATCAAGGTCATTAGCAACCACACTATTGATTTTAACATAAGGGTATCAGTAAGATTAAATGGTCTGTTGTCAAGTGGACAGCCAGGTAGCATCTCCGCATATGCACCTCAAAGTGTTGAACTTTGTTTTATTTATACAAGTCAATACAACTTAAAAACATGTGCAATGATTAGGGGGTGTAAACTGAGATCCAGAAATTTTAGAAAAGAATGTTATTCCGATTTCTACTCATTTTCATCTTATACATGTTATTTTCTAGTATTCTAGTATTTTCTAGTTTTCCAGGAAGAATTGATGCCTGGCATCCCTCTTGTCAATTCACCGCTAACACAGAAGGTATCTAATACTATGAAAGCTTCATTAAATGTAATCATCATCGCTAACACTCAGTGTCATCAAGCCACTGAGTCTCTCTTGAGTATACAGTTCTTATCTTAAGTTATCAAATGGATACAATTACGATCCTTACTCATCAAATTTGAGTAATGAACATTACCATCAAAACAAAAGATTGCTTCAAGCAAAGAATAGAAAAACGAAAAAGCCACAGAATAAGCAGCCATTATATAATTTAATCAATTGCCTTTCTGCAAGTGTAAACTATATATGTTATATCACACTGTAAATACACTATGAACTTCTGCATTACCACAAATGCTCATATACTCAAATATGTAATAAGAAAAACAGAAGTTACAAAATGGAAAAAAAAAGAAAAGAAAAAAATTGTTTTTAAAAAACAGCAAATATTTCTCATAGGATGGCTCAGAATTATCAGCAAAAGGTATACAGACCATACAAATTCGTGAACAATTACAAAAATATCAGTTCATAAAAATTCAATAAAAAGTGGGAACAAATATAAATCGTTAAAATAAATTACTCAACCAACCTTCTTTTTAAGTATTGTGCTGAAGTGGTTATTACGGAAGAGAACCGCAAGTTCCTCTTGTTTCATAGCAGAATTCAGCTCACAAAGTCCATGATAAGTAAGTTGTGAGGCGGTTCTTTCTAAAAACTGTTCAGCAATTAGAGCTGAAAAAAAATGTCTGAGATAAAATATGCCAATAAAAAATACAAAAAATTCACAAATGCGAACTCCAAACCTCTAAACTTTTATAAATTGAACTTTCGCGTTAACCTACTATCTTGAATCGAATTAATGCATTATTTTATGTGGCGAGACTAGAGCCACCAGATCCGCTCTTCCGTCTGACCACGCAAATTTCGCTACGCTCCTTTCACCAACTAGCGGAGAAAGGAGATATTTCCTGGACGATGAAACTGGTGATTTGAATTTAGCTGAGAGGCGTCATTAGGCTTTAGGATCTTTTACATGCAAGTAAATCTACTTGCAAAACATGGGACAAACGGCTTTACTTCCCTCTGAAAGAAGGCGTACGAAGGATTTTTTCGCCCTTTAAAATCCACAGCGTCGATCGGATATGAACCCGCCAACTTGGGTATAACAGTCCGATAGGCTAACCATTACAACATCGCCGCCGTTTACTCTTGTACTAAGAAGTCGAACAGAAATGAACTAATGGGGTAACGTAGCAGACAATAGATTTCATTAGATAATAGATCAGCTAGTGTTAACACCAGGGGAGGGGAACATCTCTTCTTTCTGCTTACAAATGCTCTTGACTTTCAAAGGCGGAAGGACATTTTTATCGTCGTCTGTACCCCTTCAGCGCAGGTGGTTTATGGCCAGCATATGGTAGGCGTCACGTGACTGGTCACGAAGGACAGTCGAAAGCCGGAACGCGTTGCGTTTCGGTCATTCATTCAAAGACAGTGAAGACGGCGGTCGCTCTCCGGTGGAGGGTCATGCGACAACAATTACATTCGCACAAGCGAATTAAAGTCCATAAATGCTCTGCACTTCAAAACCACTCTATTCTTGTACATAAATGTGATATATAAAAGACAATGTTTATTTGTTTCTTTGTTGGTTGGTTCATTCTGAACGCGCTGCCATAACGTTCATCAGATTGCGAGAAAACTTTGTCAACTCATTGTTTGCACTTGTGGGAAGAATATAAGCAGAGTACGACGGGAATGTGTATATGCCTGCGCACGCCGACGCGCGTTGATGATTTTATGCTGACCCAGGCACCCCTGTTCAGGTAGTCTACGCAACGGCGCTTTAACGCAACCCGCAGCACCCTGAAGTATTAAGTGTCTGCCCCTGCGATTGTGAAATAACACCTGGGAGAGACAGAGGCAGACATAGACGCAGAGAGAGAAACAAACAGAAAGAAAGACAGACAGAGAGTGAGAGAGAGAGAGAGAGAGAGAGAGAGAGAGAGGAAGGGGGAAGGAGAAAGAGAGAGATGGAGGGCAGGACAATTTCTGCGGGGTTCCGCTAGTTGATATCCTGTCGTCTTATTTCATCACGACACAACAGAATAAACTTTCTTGTAATATCGGTAACGGTTGTGTAATATTATTGTTGAATAAATTCTTTGACAATTCACCTATCACTTGAAACATTCTTAAACAAATGAAGTGTGGAAAATACGCTCAGAAGTACATACGAGGCTATTGTACTAAAGGAACAAGCCTAACATTACTTTATTAGAAGTTTCAACGCACATTACTTTGCCTATTGTTACCCAAGTCCACTTTACACCACCACAAGCATTGACACAAATTAAAGCTAGAAAAACAAATTAAATGCATTAATTACAAGTATTGGTGACTAGTTACTATTCTAAAATATCTGACTTCTGGAATATTGCATTTATCCAAATATAAAATAATCCCTGAATTTTGAGAAGGGCTACTAAGAATATTATTATTTTTTAACTAGTTATTTCTATCCAGTTACATCAAGATCTCAAATTGTATTATTAACAAGAATATTGTCGTAATAAGAAGATTAAATCTTTTTGGCAGAGCTCTCACTATTTTCTTATTCCTTAAAAAAATCATCATCATCATCATCATCATCGTTTTTCACTACCATTTTCAGCTTTACATGCATCATTGTTTCTTTCTTGCCCTCTGACTTTTTAAGTGCCTTGAATTTCTGACCTTTGACTTTAATCAGACCCAACAGTGAACATTCCTTCAGTTCCACCAGATTTTCTTATCGCTGTTCCTGTTCCTGACCTCTGCTTCTTTAACAAGTTTTTTTATATCAACTTGAATGTTGCTTTGTTTAATGTTCACATGATCGAGTTGTGAAATGTGAACTCTACTACTGCATACCTCCATTCCGAGCGCAGTGTGAGAAAGGGCGGAAATGTTTTCCACTTTTGAGTATTAAAAAATAAGCTTTCCATCAGTAATTGGATGTATGGGAGATATTATGTTTAAAGTCAATGAGTATGCATGTTGCTCTTCTTTTTATACTTACAAGTAAATTGATATGTTTAATGAAGTAAGGGTCCCAAATCACAGTCCCAATTCTATTGTCGCAATGATATTTATGTTGTAAAGCAAAATGAACGAGTCGCCTTTCTTTCTTTACAAAACCCAAAATGTGGATTTCCCACTTCGGATCATCTCTGACCCTCATATCAAGATCCTCTGTGACTGTCGAGACTACCAGTTCATTTGTACGAAGATAATAAGGAAGCTATTAAGATAGTTAAATAGATAAGATAGAAAGGTAGATTCCTACCTAAGCTATTGTAAGATAGATAAATAATTAATACAAATTTAGTATTAATTATTTCCTACTCTCTTATTTCCAAACAAATGAAATAGAGTTTGTCTTCGCAAATATTTCTGTTCTATTGAATGGAACTATTATTGATTTTCCTCTTATTAATGCAAAGCGGGTATATCTCATTGGAATAGTACATTTTAAGGCCCCGGAAAAGTGGATTTATTTTGTAATGATGGCATGCAATGCCTGAAAGTAAAAGCAAAGTTGGAAGACTGTGCCATGGCAGTAAGGTAACATTCAAAATTCCATCATTTAAAGATATTAATTATTTTTTGCATTGGCCCATATTTGCTATTCCCAGCTCAAGAACTTCAGGTAGCAACCCCATTTCAAATGGGGTCACACTTCACGTGACAAAGCAAAGCAAAATCAGAGTTAGGTATCTTCATGGAAGGTTCCAATCCCATGATTTGGTTTCTTGGATTTTGAAGAATCTATAGAATTCAAGAGTGGGTCCACATTGATCATCAAGAAATAAAAAAATACTGAAAAATATGCAATTAAAAATTGGGAGCAGACAAGCCATGATTTTATGTCAAAACTTTGAATATTTGAAGTCATTGCTCGAAAGGAGTGGAACAGATTGTTCTAATGCATTTTACTGAAAATTATATGTTTTACATCCAAGATAGCCCCCAGAGATTTCATTTGGAAAATTAACAAGCAATTACAGACACACTTATTTTTCACGAAAAATAATGTTCAAACTTTCATTTTAACAGAAATTTTAATTTTAATAAAACATTCACATCACAATTAAATACAATATTCACATTACATTTACAATACATAATTTTTTTCTTGTTTGTAAAAATTTGAATTGGATGGACTTGAAAAAACGAAAATATACATCACAAATATATGGTTGAGCTTCCCCATGCTTGTATATATGCACAATTTAATATGTAAATATCAATATGTATAATACTTTAAGATCTAATCGTTGATTTCTAAAAAAAAACTCTTTTTCTCTTTTATACAAGAATGTTTAAAGAATTAAGATGTAATTGTAGATTTCTAAAATAATATTGTTATGAAATGTTTAATAAAAGAATGTAATGAAATTACAGTCAAATCTGTCCAAATAAAAGCCTGTACAAGCCGGAAACCTGCCTTAACCAGAATATGTAACCAAACGCAGAAACGGAACAATTTTTTCATGTCCTGCGGGGGGGGGATCTTATAAAACAGAATTACCATGACTTTAATTGAATTGGCAGAGAGACACGAGACGTTCTTAATGAAGTTAATGTACCTGCAGGCTTGTTTTAAATTCTCCATCATTGAGACACGCACTTTAGTCAGGGCAGCAGGGCATTGAAGGAGATAGGCTTCAGCTGTCAACATACAATTTGACATCGGGGTCGCTTGTCTCTCAAGTCGTAGGCTGTAAGGGAATTCCTTCTCTCCAGACTCAGAGCGAGGAAAGGTGTATGATCATAGCTTCTATTCACACGTCTCCGTGCCCCACGTTGAAATATCGAAGTCTCGATGAGATACATATTGTTCAAGGCCATGCGAGGATATCAGAAAGTCATGGTAGCGGGTTGCGACGCATTGTGCATTGATAGTCAGTCAGCAAGCTGTCTGAATACAGTTTGGACACTGAATGCATTTTTCAACAAAGAAGCTGTCAATGAAGAGAGTTTAATATTAATTTATTGTCCACTTCTTCCATAAATACGTTATTGTTAATGAACAGGGACAATCAAAATGATTGTTGTGTTTTCAAAAATCATAATACACAGGGTAAATTACTTAGAAATATGAACATTATTTTCATTGTGAACTGGAACTCACAACATTTTTTTAAAATACATTACAAAGGCTCCATATGCAGCGCCCTTAGCCACTTGACATACATCCACCCGATAGTCCATTTCTTTCGAAACCTCCATCTTAATACTGATGCTTTCCAGAATATTTGTTGGCAAAGGAGGGATAAAGACTCAATTTTTAACATATCCTCACAAGAAAAAAATCACACGGCACACAATCTGGTGAACGTTGTGGCCAGGGTAAGAGCATGTCATTACAGTCCTTCCCATGTCCGATCCACCACTGTGGGAGTTGCTTGTTTAAAAATGCTGTTACGTGCCAGTGAAAATGAGATGCTGCACCATGCAGTTGTCGCCCCTGACTTTCAACTGAGGTAACAACAATTTTGGAATCAGTTCCGTGCTGCCTCTTGTAGTCGATTTTTAGGGCTAAGGAGATAAGTTTACCTCATCCGATTTACTTCCGCTTCTGGCACAATGGGACTTTCACTGCTTTGTCCTTTACACAAACAGCCCATATCCACAAATTGAGCGCACTATCTGCAAATAGAGTTATTGAAAGGAGGGTCCTTTCCGTATTTTGTTTGAAAATAGCGCTGGACTATGGTAATGGATTGATGTTGATGATATTAATAATGTAGAGTTATTATATAGAGTTTAATAATCAAGAGAACAAAACACTTTCTCCATAACGCTCACAGCTATTTTTGAAAAACTGCTCTAACTGTCATCTGATGTTAACTGAGGTAACTACAATCTTGCATAATGAAACTTCCAGTTTGTCTATCAACTGCAGCAACTATAATAATTGTTAAATGATGTTGTAGGCTTCCACGGCCAGTCATGATCTGGGCTGTCTGGGTGACGCCCAGATTATAATAATCGTATTTATATCTGCTGTCTCTAAAACAAATCACAAAACCCTGGCAATCATTTTGAATAACTCTGCATTTATTATTATAAAGTTATGAAATTTACTACTTTCAGGACAGAAAATGTCATAAAATGGACAATCTTGCATAAGAAACCTCCCTAAAGCGGATTTTTTTTGAGTCCTGATTGATTCTGGCTTAGATTTTACTAGATTAATGAAACAAAACCTTTAGATAATGCGACACCCGGTTATTCGAAGTGAACGTTGTGCTGCCAGATGCAACCACCCCCTCTCTTCAGTTTTTAAAACCAAACGCCCTGGCTGGCCCAAAGGGTGGTGCATCAATCACCAACAATCCCCTGACCTGAGTGCCGGTGATATTATATAGAAATCTACTTAGGTGGACTAACCACAATGTGTCTCCCCAATAAATTACATTGTAACCTTCACATTTAAGTTTTTTCTCTATTTGGATCTCAAGGTTAGGTGGATTGTACTCGAGTCTGGAAATTGAACAAGACCACAATATTCTTTAACACAACACATATATTCAAAAAAGCATAGAAACATAACTACTACAAAACAAAAAACACAAAATCCTTCAAATCCTATACAGGAAACATAACACAGAAACATTATGCAATCACTCTCAATTACAACATCCTGTCTCAACTTACTATCAAATTCAATGGGAGTATTCATCTTTTTAAAAGGTATTCATACACTGAACTTAGTTTATTTCCTCTTTTATTTGTAACAAAATCCTATAACCTTACTTGATACAAATTATTTCTTCTTGGTTTAAGGTTCCATGCTGTTGCAAAGGAAACCAGAGAGATTACTCATGCAATGAATGACTGTGTTTTGTAACGGCTTTTCCCATCACTTAGAACTGATTAACTACCTTATACAAATGTATGAAATTTGTATGGCTTTCACAAAAATATTCATGTTCTAATTCTTCCACTGAATAAAATAACATTGGAAGCAACAACTTTATTTTTGGGAAACGACATAATGTTCCACTGCTGTTCCCCACGTGCCATCACTCCATTGCGGTATGAAATCTGGTTGTTGCTGTGCTAATGAGATGTTTTTCATTCTCTGGACCATGTAGCTTCAGCTGGCTCTGGCTGAGCAGTCACAATGAGTTGGTCACAATGTTAAAAATTAAAATACTTTTCAGATACCTGAAGATAGGTCAAAAACTACAGCCCGAAACATTGTAATGTATAAAGTTTATGAAAATATTATAAGAAAAATATAACAAAAAAACAATAATGCATTTTAAATGTAATGTGAACATTTTACTGATGAAAATGAAACTGATAAAAATGAAAGAATGAACATAGGTTATTGTGAAAAAAAAAAAAAAAAATTATATAACAGAAATATAAAAATAGATCTACTAGTTTCATGTAATATCGACAAACTAAAAAATTGATGTTCACACTCCAAATTGTTAACTACTGTATTATGTTGCGTTTATACTATTTTGAAGCTCTTTGCGCCACTCATCAACTTTACATTTAATTTATAAAACAATAGTAATTGCATGGGGGCTGCGAATGACGCATTCAAAAACCATGTCATGATAAGATATCTTTGCTATGTTTCACTTTTCTCACTTAAATATTGAAGAATATGTACTTTAAATTCTTAAATTTTTATTTTTCACTGCACTTTTTACATTTTGAGCATTGTATGCCTCCGATGGATAATCAAATTCATTTATCTGGCAGTTTCCAAACACGCTCTTTCAAATGAGATTGATTTGAAACCATTTGTACAAGGTTGCTTTCTGTAAACCAAAGTTGAAAATACCCTATCTTGGGGCTATTTACCAACATCTTTAATTTACAATGTAATTGATAAAGGAATGATATGAGCTAGGAGGTTGAAATTATGCACTGACAAACCTCGTAATGTGATATGTGCTAAGTTTTGCTTTTCTTACTTGAATACTGTGGAGGTTATTTAAGGTTAAAGTCTTCAATTTATTTCAGGCACTTATTTTTTTTTCATCAACTTCACTGCGATTTACCCAATGTGTCGTAATAAAGGCATACTTGAAATTAATAGCACTGAATAGGGCAGAGAAATTGTATAAGCAAAGTCAGTTTCATTTGTTCAGAATTAAAGGAAAAGGAAATACTGAATACCATAGTTATCAAAATCTTATAGGTACTATACACTGAAGCTGCGCGAGTAGTTTACTATAGTAAAGTCAGATATAGTAAATTATATCTGAAAAAGAAATTCACCTGTGATGCTAAAACTTTACAAAATTTGACACACGCAAGACTCATGGATGTGAAGCCCTAGACCATGGCAACTCAAATTCAAGAATATGGGTCAGAATGCTCACGGTAGCCTGTTCCAGTTGCCCACGTTTCACTCCCCTTTAAGTAGACTGGCCAATCATGCCCTAGCACCTTCCATCTTCTCTCCCTGTCACGTTGAGTCAAGAAGCAGTGGGCCACACCAGTTGCCCACAGATAAGCACTGCGCCAGGGCACTCCATGAGAACTGCGCACTTAAGTAGCTCATGATATTACAAGATGATTTACTAAGTTGCAATATGATGGTGTCCAAGATGTTATTTATTTTATAATTTTTCTTCAGGCATTAAAGGTAAAGAAATTGAATTTTTATGATTTTATTTTTATTGCATAACTTAATTGCTTATCATTAAAGGCCATTATCTAATATTTACTTTCTAATATGTATATTGCAATAACAATTCTCTATAAAAGATTACTTAAAAACAAATAAAACACAGAGGTGACAAAAGTCGTGGAATAGCAATATGCAAATATCCAGATGGCAGTAGTATTGAGTACAAAAGGTATAAAAGGGCACTGTATTGGCAGAGCTTTCATTTGTACTCACGTGATACAAGTGAAAAGTTTCTGACACGGTCTCAATACACGGTTTCTGAATACGGTCACAAGGTGGGAATGAACAGATTTTGAACACGGAATAGTAGTTAAAACTATTCACATGGGACAGTGCATGGACGTGACGAGACATTCCATTTCAGAAATTGTAATTCAACAAAATTAATTGGAATTCAACAAAGCAAGATCTGCACAGTGTCAAGAGTGTGCCAAAAATAGCTAATTTCGGGCATAACCTCTTACCACAGACAACACAGTGGCTGGCGGCCTTCACTTAATGACAGCGAGCAAATAACTGCAGAAATCAATGAGGGATATATGACGAACATATCCTTTATGACAGTGAGGGGAAATTTGGGTTTAATGAGCTATAGCAGCAGAAAAGAGACTTCAATGCCATTACTAAATAAAAATGATATTGCCTGTGAGTTTCTCCCGAGCTCGCGTCCATACCAATTGGAACCTAGATGACTGGAATAGTGCAGCTTGGTCAGATGAGTACCAATATTCACGTGTGGCACAGGCCCTAGGAAGGCATGGACCCAAAAGTTCTCAACAAGGTGTTGATCAACACTAAGCAGGCTGATGGTGTGGGTTGTTTTCACATATAATAGACTCGGCCCTCTGATACAACTGAACCGATAATTGACAGAAAATGGTTATGTTCAGTTACTTCAGTTACAGACCATTTGCAGCTGCATGGACTTCATGTTCCCAAACAACGAAGGAAGTTTTATGGATAATAATGTGTCACATCACTAGTCCACATTCTGGAGAATTCAAGTGAATGATTTGGTCAGCCAGATCGCCCAAAATGAATCCCATTGAACATTTACGGGACATAATCGAGAGGTCAGTTCTTGTACAAATCCTGCACTGCCAATACTTTCACAATTATGGCCAGCTATAGAGAGCATGGCTAAATATTTCTGCAGGAAACTTCCATCAACTTGTTGAGGCCATGTTCACTTCATAAAGGGAGGTCCAACATGATATTAGGAGGTATCCCATTTTTTCCATTCTTTATTCTTTTAGTCTTTTCTTTATTTCTTTTCCCCACAGGCAGTATCAACGTATGCTCCAATAGATGAATCTGTACCTTTCCCCCACTGCACAGAGATAATTATTCCTTTTTTTATTCAGATTTCAATTTAAAAAAATAATGTTTAGGTTGAAATAATTTCATGTCACATAATTAAGCATGTGACTATTGTACCATGCACCTCTAATCTTATTCTATAAAATATTCACAAACATAACTGTGCAGCCAAATTACCTGTACATGATATATTTTGTACAAACAAAACGAACTATGATAGTTAAGCTTTTAACAATGCTAACACTCTTAATGATATATTTTCTAAATTTCAAAATTTTGAAAACCATACTTGAAACTAATTCGTACTTCTTATAACTAGACCGTAACATGCAGTGAAAAATACTAACCTTCAGTGACCAAGTCAGAGTTTGATGAACATTTATTAAGGATGATTCTCTCCACTAGTTGGTTATAACCCAGATTACCTAACGCCTGCACAGTCTCCTGACATTGTGGATCCACAAGCCATCCATGGTACAATGGAATATTCAGTAGATCAAATATTATACATTCTGGAGTGTATTCAAAATGTTGGACACTAAAATATATAAAAAGAGAACTGAATTATTATTCATAAAAAAGTAATAGAAATGCATGTAAGAGGTGCTGTATGTAGTCTACTGATCTATATGATACTATTTTGAAATGCATGAAGATCAACATGAAATACATGAAGATCAACATAAACATTTAGATACCAAATTTTGCACAATACATTTTCAAACTTACTCTCAATTACTATGTACTGTAATACTGAAACACTCACTTAAATGTACTAGGAATAGAAATTGAAATAGCTTTGAAGATTCAACTATTAAATGTAACTGCATTAATGTCATCAAAACATACCCAGTAAATTTTATATTTACATCCAATCCCGTATGCAACTGAGGTAATATGGCAATGGCATCATGCATGTTTTGTTCATAGTTCAGCATGCTTGGTCCACGTAAATCCTGTAATCATAAGAGATTGGAAACCTAACAGAAAATGCTTACACATCTCTAAAATGCTATAAATGGAAACTAATGATATATTTAATTTTTTAATATCATTGTTATCAATCTAGATTATACATTGATAATATGATTGTATTATATACCACGATGACAATTAAAGAAATGTTTAAAAAAGGGTTAATATTTTTGAAAGTTTTAATTTAAGCAAGAGAGATTGAAAGACCACGAACATGTTGAAAGAGGGCGTCCATTTCTTCTATTTCCCAAAACCAAATATACTGTTTCAAATAGTGGAGTATCCAAGGGGTCTTGTGACCCCTCCCTACTCCAAGCTCATGACATATTCACAAACAATTTTTAAAACTGCCTTTAGTAGAAACGAAAAGAGACGAAACGATTAGAGACAAAACTCATTCAACATCTCTACCAAATATGTTCTGAAGAACTGTAAATCAACAAATATAAATAATTTTGAAATTCTACATAAATGGAAAATTTATATAATAAAACATCAAGTAAGCTAAACTTTACACTTATAGTCCACCCCCACAATTCTGGTTGCACTACTGGGTTAAAATACTTTTTTTTAGACAAATATTCCAAACAGTATTTTTCTGGGCCTTTTGATCATTTTTGTCATTTTAACACGTTTCATTTCCTTTTCGTGTTTTTAGTTAGCGAATGTAAATATAATTTTATATAAATCAATTTTATTTAAAATTGAAAAAAAAAAAAAAAATGGAATAAATAATCATATTCATACACATTTTTTAGTATTTTTAAAAAATTAGGTCATTTCCCCTTATTTTTAAGTCATGTCATTTTCAAAGAATTTTTAGATCACCAGAATCTGAGCTATGGTTATCACCAATTTAAGAATAATAATGAAAGTTGGATCACATCATACACGAAGAAGTCAGTACTGCTGTCAGTCAGAAAGTACTGAATCAACATTTCAAGATTAAAAAAATGTTCTCAAATAATGAGATTCCACTATCACCCCCACAATTAGAAATAATAAGTGAAAGAGTTATGGATCACTCATATAAAGGATTCTAGAGCACTAAAGTTAATGGTGCACTGTCATAATCAGTAATATAAGAGCCTGAAGATAAATTCATTGTCAACAATGTAAGAGGAGAATAATAATTACATTGGTCTATCATTGATAGTGGGTAATTTTTTTCAGTCTTTGGCCTGATTTGCTGGCATACACTACAAGATATGATGTGCTGATGTGGTTCACCAGTGTCTTCACACTATAAACACCCATGTCTTACAACAGATCTTAACACTATCGCTATTTCTTCAATCAACTGAGTAACCTGGATTGACAAGGTAAGAGTAAATAACTGAGGTAACTTCTACTTTTCTGGTTCCCCAGCCTGCTTCAGGCCATGACCACCTTCAATGCTTGTCGGACAGATATGTCCTAGATCAGTGGGATGGGCTGTATGAGGACAGGTGACCATTCCATCACTCAGCTCTAAGGATTGGAAAGAGGATAGGAAAAGAAAAATTGCATGCAATCAGTGGACCATATTCTAGGGAGCTGCTGTAGCATTCACCTGGAAGCAATCAGGGAAGCCACTAATCAGGGCATTGGCCTAAGATTTCAATTTTGGCAGGTGCCACAAACTTGCTAATGTCAACACATCAGGCAAATCTCCATCACATGGCAAGGATTGAACCTGGCACCTCCCATCACAGATACACTCAAGCCATAGGGAATTGCCTTGATGTCTGCTGCTATCAGCATTAATAAATAGATGAACAGTGTTTAAAGATTTTTCAGTAAATGGATCATCATGGCAAAATTAAAATCAAAATCTACATTTCCTTTTAGATTCTTTTTCTGCATCTTCATGGTGGGCACAGGAAATTTACAACTATCCATGCCCACCATTATTTCTCACAACTGGTCAAATAAACCTTTTTATACTCGCCAATCAGTCAAAATAAAAAAAAAAAGTACTAAAAATAGTGCTTCATGAAAAACATTAATTGTAAATTGAATTGTCACAGAGACTAGCAATGTTTAAAAAGGCAGGAATTTGAAACCAGATGAAAAAGTTGGATATTTCAACAAAATATATCATATAATTTCATGAGAACATAATAACAATGCCCACTCTTTCACAAAAATAATAAAAGATTAGTAGAAAAAGCAATACTTTCTTAACAAACAGATTTTGGAAATAAAGGGATATCATTTCAAGAATGTGAACATAATTCAATATATATTTGAAACTGTTAATTGAAAAGAACATAAATAACTTGGGGTGGAATATTTTAAGAAAGTAAGAAATAACATGATACTATTTAGCTCAATCATTCAAATTGTGGAAACTGATGTATTTTAGAAAATTTTGGCAACATTACAATGGCAATAAGTTTATTTTCCTTCTTCTACAATTCCAGCATAAAATATTTATTCAATTCTAGGTACAAAATGCACCTACAAGAATCGTGTATGCCAATTATTCCAAAAATACTGTAATAGAATTGCCTAGCTATTGCAACAGACTTTTGACATTATAAACCATAATACCAATGAAAAATGAATCTTCTAGGTGATTCCTTCAACAATCTGTACTTCCTTGCATGAAAGAGTTAAGAGGTCTTTAGAAACTATATCAAAAGACTTCCACTTAAAGTAAGTTTCAACGCCTGTCAGTGGCATATAAGCACATAGAATTGGTAAGTGTAAAACAACTTGCACATATCAATATTGGATAAATACAAAGTGAATATATTAGAATGTATATAAAGTCAGGATAATAAAGGGTCACTTAAGGTGCATTACTACTATTATTATTACTTCTATTCAAAAAGCATACACGCCAAGAAAAGCCCTTACTGTTGTAATAAAAGGAGGGGATGTACAAGAGAAGTAGGGAGAATATAAAAATACAATAGTACAATAAGTAATTTTTTTGAATACTATTATCATCAAAAGAAATTTCCGTTTCCTACATAAAAAAAGTAAACAAGTATTGAGGTTGGTGGTGGTGGAAATAATAATATCACAGACGAGATACTTGGCAAATCAAAGACTTAAATATGATTTAAGACAAATGAAGATAGCAAATTTAATTTTTTAACAGCAGGCGCAAATTTACAGGGAGAGTAATGAGGGAAATCCCCCCCCCCCCACTAAAATTTTTCAGCGACTATTAAATTTAAAGTGTCAGGAAACTTTCAAGCAAATATATGTTTGGATAGCCATTAAAAGAAATAAAATCATATCCAGCATGAATTGAGAGTAGCCTGACACATTTTACAAAATCTGAAATATGACTTGTTCGACCAAGACATTTTGAATTTTCCCTCCTAAAATTCATCTCTGCATTCGCCCATGTTAAGATGGAAGTTTGTTTTGTCTAATTCTCAATTACAACACATTTCTAATATATGCTAAGTCCTAACCACCATTGATTTAAAAAAGCTTCAGACTTCATTTATTATATGCAAATATAATTATCTTCAGAGGTTATGATACTATAAACATATTATATGTTAAAACAGGGGAGAAAAACAAATTGCTTTGAATAATTTATAACAAAAAAAATTGTATAATAAATGTATTCAACAGAAAAGAGAAACAGAAAAACAGGAATGTAATGAAACCTTAAACAAAAGAAAATAATCTTGTTTAACAGAGTCTTATTCACTGTACAATGTTAATTCAAGAAATGAATATTCCCACATCAATTTTGATATTGTAAAATAACAACAAACACACACATAAATATTAATCCTAATTAAAAGAATGTATAATGTTAATTAATAGACTATTTTCATTATTGTCTCATTGTCAGTATTGTCTATTTTCTCAAATAAGTTAATTGGGATTGTACAAGTAATATGTTTCAATCATACCTTTGGTATGCTCTCCATTATTGCATCTCCTATGTACTCCATCAAGTCACTTGCACTGATATGCTCTATGGTGGTCCGTAAGTGAATTTTACCTCTTAGCAATAAAATATTAGCTATTGCTATAAGTGGACAAGGGCCATTCTCATTCTGGGTAACAATTGGGGTTTTCTTATTCTGCCATTCAATCCACTTTAGTCGATACACTTGCTTATTGCCAGTAAGAGATTCTTCATCTTCAATTGATTCTTTCCCTGCCTTAGGCAATGGAGATGGACATTTTTCTGTTGTTTTTGGTGAAGAAGAGGAAGGCTGTTCTGCTTCTTTAAGTGAAGTATCTTCTGATGGTAAGACAGTATCGTTAATTACCATATTCTGAATTGCTTCAACAATATGTTCATCTTCTTTTTGTGGAGTATCTGTAACTGATTTATGAACACTTGACTCTTGAGCATTATATTTATCAAAATTTTCTACTTCTCCATTGAGATGTAGCTTTGGGACACTCTCCTCACTGTCTTTCACTTCACTAGAATTATCTACAGTTTCTGATGAAGATATTTCTTCATCAGCATTATTTACATTATCATTTGCTTCCACTTTGGATGACATTGTGTTAAAAAAAATAGGATAATCTTTAAGAGTTATCAATGATCCTAATTATCACATCAACCACAAACACTAAATACACCTTTTTAAAGTTCAAAAAATCTTTCACACTGATTGTTTTTATGGCCCAATGACAGCAGCTCATTAACAAGGCCATATAAAGGTAAATAATAGTTCTTCGTCTTCATTAGTTGTAGCCATATTCCAGAAATCTAAAAACAAAAATCTGATATTAACCCAAAATTAAAGTATTTCATGCAAATTTTAAAAAAATATTTTCATGACACAAAAAGAAATTTCAATTTTAATAATACTCATATACTACTAAAAAGTTGACATATTGAAGTGATTTCTTTGCACTATGAAAGTTTCTTGAGTGGTTAAAAACATTAACCTATAATATCTAGTGACACACACAACAGTTTTAAGTCACATAAACTTAAAAGATAAAATGCATAATCATTTTAAATTTTGTTTAGTTATAGAATCAAGGTGGTCACAAAAAATTGGCCAAACTAGTTTAAACTATTGCATAACTATCTACCTGACGAACAGCAAATATTAATTATGTGTTAATTCTGCAATTTCAAATTCCAGAAAAATTAAGACAAAGTGTTACGTGTTTTTATTGTTATTTAAGTTAATAGTACTAAAAATATATAGTTAATGATTTCCAGTAACAGAAACCTTTACCATGGGGAAAATTATGACAACTTGACAGGATCAGTCATGTGATGAATGATATATTCCACAGAGTAACTTCCCTCATAGAGGCATTAATTTCAAAATACTGAAAATTTTGAGGAAGATTATACATATTTACTACCAATAAACTGTGAATAAGATAGCTGGTATCGGTTAAATCACCACTCCTATGCAATACTGATGACATCTTCCTTTAAAGCAAAAACATTATTTGACAACACACTCTTCATGTACAACTTACATCTTTGAGAACAAATAGTTGACAGAGAATAGACCAAATAATCAAATTTCATTAGACACAAATATTAGGCACGTACGTACCTCAGGGTGTTACGGAATCGACCGCAACCACAGAAGTTGCGAAACATGCCATTGAGGAAATGATTTTTAAAAAATCATTGTCGTTTTTAATAAACACTACAAGAGGATTAAACTTACCACAACAAATTTGTAAAAGTGAAAACGTTTCCTCTTAATAAGTGATTTCCCTTTACGTTCCACCTACAATGCGTCTCTCACTCGTCACTCTCAAACCTAGACTACTAAGTCAAGGAATACTAAACACTTCACGTTGTGCACTGTCCATGGCAACATTTCGTACAGCTGTAGATAGCGCTACCAGAGCCTATGGCGGGAATAGCATTTCACCGCTAATTCAGTGCAATTAATTCTGATGGTGTGAAAAAATATATTAATAGTGAATGCTTGTGAAACTTATATCAACTTACACTTGTCAAATTTCTTCATTGTATAAATAATTTATTTTCACACTCTGACTATTGATATACCGACAGTACTTTTATTTCAAAATTCACAAGTTGGTATTTATGCACGTGTCACGCTAACGGTGAAATGAAGAAATAAGTTGATCCTTAATTCAAGATATTCATTACAAAGAGATGTACCTCCATATTCTTCCTTTCCTAGTACTACGTTCTTAACTTCTCCCGAATTGAAAAAATAAAAAATAGTGTTTCTTCTAAGTGTCTGAATTTCGAAAACCATCTTCAACTATAAGACTGAAGATGAATACTTTCTCTTCGTAAAGCAGTGTGCTTCGTGAAGCTATGTCACTATGCAAATAGGCTCTTCAACTGTACAACTAAAGGCTAAATTAGTCACTAAAATACTTCAACAAAATTCGTTGAAACGCATTTACTCAATTAAGAGATAAGAAAACATGTTTCAACTAAAGACACTTTTGAGGCGGATAGCTATGATAGCAGGTGAGATATGCCCAGAATGTATATAATGCACATGGTTGTGTTCACAAGTTTAAAAATAAACGAATGTTCTTACCCGATCCAGGGATGAAACTTGAAACATCTTTCAAAATGTGCAGTGGCTGATTTAGAAATGGGCGCCCCTGGGCACTACACACCGTGCCGTCCTTTTATCTATTCTTTAATTTTTAATAAAGACAAAGTTTCAATAATTTCTAAAGCAGTTGTTCTACTACTACTAATACAATTTTTTATAATAAAATAAATATCATTACACAAAATAAACTAAAATCTCTTGCTTATTGAACAGCGAATTGGTCGATGAATTCATCACAGTTTATTGATTTTAAATTTCGTATTCTATTGCCAACAAAGCAAGCGCGTTTAATCAATTTTTGGTCATTTTTGGTCTGAGGTAGTTTTTCACTAGTTTCAAACATGAAAATGATCTTACAGCGCTGAAATTACTAATCGGTGTGCAGAAAATCATCCGGTATGCAATATCAACATTGGTATACACCATATACAAGTCATTTTCACGAAGAAACTTCATCAATTCCATTGGAGACAAATTTTCCATATTTATCTCGATGCAGTGTGTTTCGAAGTGTAACATTTCATTTCCCAATGTGCCTTCTAAATCCGTGTCTAAAAGTCTCGCATCAAGTTTGATTTTTCTTGTACATTGTATGCATTTAAATTTTCAAGTGCTAAAATTATGGAGAACTTTCTACTGACTTTCTTGTAAGCTTCGTTTCTTTGAGTTAATTCTTAAACTATGTTATCTAAAACGAGTTTATAATGCTATGACTTTGCATGCCTTTTCCTGACTCTCTTTTAAATCCCATCCGACGCTAAGCGACATGTTTTATTTCAATAGTTCTTGTACTAGTAAAATGTGGCGTCGCCAACGCCAATAAAATTTAAAAAATAGTTTCATGTGTTGAAAATTTCTTTTATACCCTTCATTCTTGTTCAGCTTTGTTCAAATATGTTCTTTCAGTATCTGTCATAGGACTTACCAATGAATCGTAGTAGCGGATAATGTTATACAGTTTCCAACCCCTCATTAATTAATGATAACTGAATGAAATGCCTGAGGGGGGCTGCAGTCCTGCAGCCTCCAGTCCTGTAGTCCTGCAATCTCCCCATGAGCCACCACTGAGAATATGCATTCATTCTCTAGCATTTCTCACAGTTTTTTCGTATTTACTGGAAATTCAAGTTTAATACGTTCCAAGGCAATACTGTTCGTAAGTTTCCGCAAATTTATTTTTAAAAATACGATAATTCGAATCAAAATTGAAATTAAATCTGCAGCGCGATTCACTTGGTAATTCAATTGTTCACTTAAAGTGATAATTAACATCGGTGTTGGCAAAGTCTTGAAAGAAAATTATGGCGTATTGAGAGAAAAATGCCCTTGGATACAGGAGTTTAATCAATGACCTCTACATAGAATTATTTAGGAGGCGGTGGTTTAATTCCTAGCATTATCACTAAAAAACACTAAAAAAACACGTTTTTGGAAATGTCTTTGAATCTTATGGCCGGATCCGAAAACAAATCAGTTCCCCATCAGAAGACCAAGACACGACGAATGACATCTCATATGTCTGAATTGGTGTACAGGAAGTGATTTAGCCGTGAGTGACGAATCCGCACATCCGAACATCCGCACACTCGAAGTTGCTCAAATACTGTATAGGGATAATTTAGAACATTGTTTTTAAAGTGATAGCGGCTAGTTAATTCAACCTCCCTATCTTCAGTCTCGTCTAATTGAAGTTTTCTTTTCTGTCTTCGACCAGTTATAGATCGATATTCTTTTTTACGAACATTTCTTTACTGTTTTTTCATAAACATCAAATTCGTTTGTCTTCAAGAAAAAAAAAGAATATTCGTGAAAATTTTAATCTTCGTTTCAAAATGTCTCTTACAGCTTGATTAACGCATTATATAGGTCAAACTTCGACAACGCTTCCCACACGCATTGCACGAACGAAGTCTTCACTTATTCCATTTTTACTAAATCTCCCTAGATTCGCTCCCCTATTTCAGATGGGGTTGCTTTGGACCTTCAAAAACGCTTCATAAATTGGCCAAATCTGCTAATGTTATTGGCTAAAAATGTCCATTATTAACCAAACCAAACTTCTCATTACGCCCTCTGGAAGAAAGTCCACGCGATGCTAATGATTTAATAATAAACACAACAGTTCATAAAATATTTATCCAGAAATTTATTTCATCGTCTAATTCAGCGGATAATTCCTCTTTAATTCGACCTTTTGCATCTGATCTTATTTTCAAGAAGCTCATGGATTCTTTATGTTTGTTAGAGTTTTCATGAACGGTAACTCTTTGGAATGCATGCTTCAAATCATTGATACCGTTAGCATCCGAAAATGTTGTTCCACATCCAAAAAGTAAACAAGGACCGTAAAAAAACTCTTCTCTTACTTTGTGAACAAATGAGACAGGTACATCTTTTTTCACCGTTAAGAAGATTACTGACAAATAAATCAAAAGACAGGTATCGTGAATTTCTGTCGTAGAGTCGTTTCGACCTTGAAAAATCTCCATCTCGATTTAGATGAAATCCAAGTCAAATTTAGCAACATGATTAAGCAATGTTTCACTGACAATCCAGTTGGCTGGATCATCATTAATAAGATTGACAGAAGCACCCCAAAGAAAGATAATTCTGAATAAAATAACAATTTTAGGATTTTACCTTAATTTTCAAGTAACAACAATTAATTATTGTTGTTGAAACATGAAGATAATTGACCAATTTATTAAACAAAAATAAATAAAATAAACGTTAACAAAACGAATACCTAATTTTTATGACAATTAAAGTCATTTTGTACTGTTTAATATGGAAAATCGTATATGAAATGACCCACATTGACATAACTACGTTTATTATGCATTAAACAATTCCATGAATGGGGGATGGAATAATCATATATTGACGGCTCACAGCAAAGGAAGAATTGCGCTCAAAGAAATCGTGTTGCGCAGTGCGCAGGGTTCCGGAATTGCCGGTAAAATGTATGCGATAACAATGTTCAAATCGTTAGTCCTCCACTATTAGAAACTATGGAGCAGAAATCTTGAGAGTGGATAGGATGGATTCGTTAGAAAGCAGTTCGAAACATGGATTATTGCAAATTAATTCTAGGTTGTCTAGGTGCGCAGCAAATGCCGGAGTCTTTAAGAGAGGTGTGAGTAAGAATTTGGGAAAGATTTTAAAAATGAAACCTATAAACTCTGGATTAAATTAGGAGATGAACAGCTGACACATCTTATACATAGGTGCTTTTCAGAGCGCAAATTGGCAGTGGAAGCGACGTGGGCGCACAAAATTAAACGCTACTTCGTTGACCGGCAGGGTTTGGGAGACGTGCCTCCGAAATGTGGGAGAAGGGGAACGTGAGTATAGAGAAGGCTGATTTCCGATAGGACTTGAGTATATTTACAATAGGCAAGAGATCTGGCAGCAACCGGCTGAAAAAGCGTTCGCATGGTAACTTCAAATCCATGCGAGTCCATTATGGGTTGCGAAGTTACATACATACTCCCGGGAAGGACCAGAGGGGGATGACGCTGGTCGGGTTGGGGGTGGGATGCAGCGTAGACTAAAGGAGCATGAGGTGGTAAGTGGATCTGTGTTCTTTGCGGGACTAGGGAGACTGGATCCACATCCTAATTTTGCTGTGCCAACGAAACATGGAGAAAAAAATTGATGGGGATGGAAATTACCTAACTTCTAAAAAGGAACGTAAACGCTCGCCCAAAACATTTTAAGGTGACAAAAGAATCTAAATTTGAAAAGAATTAGGAAATTTTTTAGGAAAGGTCGGACGCATAGGAAACGAAATTAGGGATGGGAAAACGAGCACTGGTTAGCTTGACGAGCTAGACTGAGTAGAAACTAATAGTCATAACTAACATAAGTACGTAATTTTATGTTCAGTTATAGTACCCGTAAGTAAACAGAAATAAGTATAAGTTCGTAGTCAATGGTAAATAACTGTCAATACATAAATAAATAAACTTGGCATAGTAATATAGACATTAGGGGGTGAAGGGAAGGGGGGATCGAAATGTAAAGGTCATAGGCTTTGGTGCGGGAATCTTCTGTGGTGCCCGTCTTTGATTCAGGATGCTGTAGGAGCAATGCACTGGGAAGAGAGGGACGCCGCGCAGAGAATGAAATAGCCAAAATAACCGTCGGATAGATTAGAATGTACTCGGCTTCTGACGGCAGGTTTTTTCCCTTCAGGGGTTTTCTTCCTGAGCGTACCTGTGTCTCGTTTTTTCGCGGCTTTGCTGCGATGGAGAGGACATTTGTGGGTGAATACCAGAATTCGAAAGATTAGAAGCGAAAGGATTAGGTATTGTAATGGCTATAGGCTTCGGGCTGCCATAGGATCAGTA